TGAATCGGGTGTGCTCTCACACACACACACACACACACACACACACACATACTCAATCCCACCCAGAGGCAAAAACACCCACTGTAAAAAAAGATGCACATGCTTTTTCCCCCTTCAAAGATCCATTTGTATATACCCTAAAAAGTCAGCTTAAATAATGCTTATCACCATACAAAATGCTATAGAAACTACAACCTGATTGTGAATGTATGTTGATACCTGGTGTTGTATGCGAGGGTTCCACCTGATGTAATAAGTCACCCAAAGCTCTAGGTGGCGCATGCTGGCTACAGGGTAAAGCACGCAACTGGACTCTGGTGTGTAGAAGGGGTTTATATACAAGGATGTGTCACGATTGACAAAAGACCACAGAGACACCGTCTTCACCCGAACGTTCTAGTGAATGAAACAACATGGAAAGAGTAGAAGAATCAGAAAGTTAGCATTTTGAATGAACATTACTCCATTATTTAAAGTGATTCTTAAGTATTATTCTATGTTAAAGAAAATGAAAGCTGTTTACACTACCAGTCAAAAGTTTGGAATAACTAAGATTTGTCTCTTTTGCTCACCAAGGCTGCATTCATTTGACCATAAGTACAGTAAAGACAGTCACGTTGTGAAATATTATTACAATTTAAAAATAACTGTTTCTATGATTATATATTTTAAAATGCAATTAATTCCTGTGATGGGAAAGCTGAATTTTCAGCAGCCATTACTTCAGTCTTCAGTGTCACATGATCCTTCAGAAATCATTCTAATATGCCTTTTGAACTGAAGTACAGGTGATTTAATTGGTAATACAGAATCAGCTGTTAAGCTGTTGAATATATTGGTAATACAGCAGCTAAGGTGTTGAATCCTTTGGTTAGCAATAGATGTAAAGTGGGACTGTGTTCCCTAACATTGTTGTTGCGGTGGACGGCTCTAGAGGGCTACCAGAATGAATGTTTCATCTCCCCAAAGTGCATTCTACTCTGACTGAGAGTCACTGAAGCATCCCTTTTACTTATGCTCTACTTCACACAATGAGCGCAGAGAGAAATAAAAAGCAATGTGTGCGTGTGAGAGAAAGCAAGCAAAGGCCAATATATCTCAGTGATGACAAGTGGCCTCCAATAAGCAGTGAAGAAGATTGGATTTCAGAGATTCAGAGACAAAGGTGTGATAAAGATAAAGAAAGGTAGAGTGGAGAACATTTTAATAGATCCAGCCTGTTTCCACAATGCATGTAATAATTATAAATTAATATACAGTGAGGTCCAAAAGTAAGAGCACATTTATAATCTGAGATCCAAAATCTAGTTAAACCAGGAAATAAACAAAGGATTTTTAAAAATCATGACAAAGTGAAAAAATATTAAGACATTCTGAATTCATATTCATTTCTAAATTCAACTTAAATCTATTAATCTGGAAGTATCTGGAAGACCACCATTTAGCAGCTCTACGCAAAATCTGTTAAAAATATTATTATGGATTGCATTATTAAATATAACACTTTATAGATATTCAGGGTAGGAAGGACATTCAAGGTTTGCATATTAATGTGGTTTAATATCACTGACACACCAATTGTTTGTGACGTGTGTGTGTGTTTGTTATTTCTTACATTGCTTTCACGGGCACTCTCACAGTTGTAGAGGAAAGTGCCAAAGCGGCAGCTGTACAGGTGATCCAAGATTACCACTAGGAGACGTTCATTAAACTCAAATGCTGTTGGGAACTGCAGATGTGGGAGAGAGATAAAAGTTAAAGAGAAGTACTTGCATTAACGCATTAAACTCTAATTAGCTGGATAAAATCATTCTACAAAACACATTAAGAAAATGCATTCCAAATCTGTATGATCTGGTTTCTTTTGCTGTACTCAAGAGACATTTGAGATGCCGTTTTCTGTGTTATAAAAGTAGACAATGATGTTCAAGTTCCAATGAATTACTTAATACTACTGCATACTCTTAAAAATAAAGGTGCTTAAAAGGTTCTTCACAGCGATGCCATAGAAGAACCATTTTTGGCTCCACAAAGAACCATTCAGTCAAAGGTTCTTTAAAGAACCTTCTTTTGCCACAAAGAACCTTTTGTGAAACAGAAAGGTTCTTCAGATGTTGAAGGTTCTTTACGGAACCATTTAGACAAAAAAGGTTCTTCTATGGCATCGTGAAGTTCCTTTATTTTTAAGAGTGCAGACAACACGCAAAGCTTGCTTTGTTAAGTTGTTTCTCACTCAAATCTCTCTCAAGGTTACATATATTTAAATATGCCACGTATCAGCATCCACAATGACTGAACAGCAGCAAAACCAAGAAAGCCATGCAGGTTTGGAGCAGCATGATAGTTCACATGCTAAGACAATTAGATCCATACCTGTTTAGTCATTTGCCACACGCAGTCAATAAACTGCACAAAGATAGGTGACCTGTCCTGATCGGCATGGTTTTTGTCTCCATGGCCGATTCTCTACACACACACACACACACATACAGAGTATAATGTTAATACCAAGAGATAATGATTAATTTTTTTTTGTTTACACAAAAGCTAATACACTCAGATGTAGTTTATACTTATTTATTCACTATTAACTCTATAAATCGCCTAATAACACGGCTGACAGAACTCAAAGTCCATCACTACACGTGTGGTTTTCCAGATGCAAGACTTTGTAAACTAAGTTGGAACTCACTGAAGCGAACTTGTGTCCAAAGCTGATCCATTCCTTCTCCAGCAGCACCTGGAAGCCCCTGAGAGTCCTGTAGTATGAATCCAGCATCAGCATGGCCAGAGAGGTGAGCTGAGCTGTGCGGTCCCAGCCGTCACTGCAGTGCACCACCACAGAGCTCCCAGAAGACACCTTATCAGCCACCTGAATGGCCCCTGATAGCACCAGCTAGAGCAAGAAGGAAGGTAGTTACATTAGAGCATGTTGAATTTTATAATATATATTGGTATGCATTAAAAAAAACAAACCTTAATATGCTCTAGCCAGTGGGTGGACTCCAGGCTGGAGAGCCAATGAGACTCCTCCACACCGGGGTAGACAATGTCCTTTAACTTCTTCAGTGACTCCCTCATGACATGGATATTATGGATGTCCAGAAAGACAAGCTCAGCGTTCTGATATGCATCGTCGCCCTCATAACCCCCTCCTGTGGCCTGGAGGGTAAGAGGTGAGAAGTGTACAGGTTAAGATATGTGAACATGCAGAGAAATTCTGCATCTGCACACTTGCTTTCACACTTCATGTACCTAAAAAAATATTGCATCAATAATGCCATTTCAAAATGCTCTGTCAGCAGTGTTCAGTGAGGCGTAGCTTTCAAGCACCACTGTGTTCCACTTCTGGGTCCACATTGTGGTTGGTTTTGCTTTTAATTAGTTTTGAAAACATACTCATGCAAAAGCAAACAGTTTTGTTTGTCTAATACAAACCAAGAGTCCCAGACTGACTGGAAAACAGAAAGCAGCCCATACCTTCAGTGGATAAGGCCATAAGTTAGATATGAGGTAAACAAAGAGGGTTTTCATATTCAAGAACTTATTGGAAATGAATTTGAATCTCTCAAACCTGCCACTTATTAGTAACCCTCTAGAATCTTACCTTGTTTGCCACAGCATTGACATTAGGCCTGGCGTCATAGATGGTGAGTTTGGTGGTACCATTGGCCTCACGGATTAGGTCCAAATAACGTTCATCATCTTTGTTGCGCTTGCCGCTCATTCCCACCAAAGGCTGGCTACACCGCGTGATCACAGCATGGTTCTCTTTATGGAACCACGACAACACCTGAGAGGGGAAGGAAACACATCATCATTACAGAAGGTAAAGTCATCAACAAACATAAAAAAAAAAAACACATGGTTGAATCGAAGATGAGGAAAACAAAAGAAAGCTTTATCATCATCTAGGGACATTTGTATCAATATCATATGTGACCCTGGACCACAAAACCAGTCTTAAGTGTCAATTTTGTTATCTGCCAGTATTAGGCATTTTCTTTTTTTTATTAGTATACTGGATATACTGTATATTCGAAATTGAATATATATTGTCCACAATAGTGCATGCTTATTTCCCTATTTTTAAATTAAAATGAAATTTTCCGCCATGTAATGCTCACTTAATTTTTAAAAACAGTATTAGTGTAATAAAACTGTTAATCACTCTTTATCTTTAGCAGATCTCAAAATGAACCTTCAATTTTCATACTGTGCATTATAGTATTGTGATGTATAAATCCACTTGTAGCATTTAAAATGACTGTTTTTAGAATTTTATTTTTTTATTTATTTAGACAAACTAGCACAGAATTTCAATATTGGGTATTTATTGGTCATCATCATTTATTGGTTATCAGCCATAACTCGAAAATAATTATTTGCTTACAACATTGGACAAAATTGTAATATTAATGCATCTCTGTCATTATCATCATACAGAGATATATAAACAACGTCCAACCACATATCACAGTAAACATGTGAGAGTAAATATACTATCAGATAAATCTGAAAAGCATTGCTTTCTTATTTATGTTCAAAAACTGAAATTGACATTCTCCAAACATTTCCACTAAACAGCTTGCGTTATGCAGCAAAAGCTTGAACATGACCTTCCAACAAAAACCACACCATGATTCTGGCCTTTCATACTGGTCATCTGTAAAAGAGCTCACCGGGATGCGGCAGCGGGAGCGGAAGGTAGCGACTCTTTTAAGATCTTCCTCTGTGGCCTTGTATGGAACAACAAGAATTGTGGGATAGGTGTCACACAGCTCGTAGTTCTTATTGATGAAAGTGACCCTCCACTCACTATTGGGTACACCCTGACAACCAGAACAGAAAAACAACACAACACACAATCTTTAGTAAAAGTACACTGTGCAGTATTTTATGCCATTACATTAGAATTATATTACATTTGCAAGTGAATGGTGAGTGTGAGAAGGATGAACAAGGGCAGCACGACACTAGCACAAGTCCTGGCATCTGGTCCTCACCTGCCTCCTGTACTCTTCCATGGCCTCATAAACGTTCCAGCCATTCTCCTCATACTTCTCCTGACTCAGAAAGGCAAAGAGTTGCTGTGAAAGTCAAAGAAAGAAAAGTGAGAGAGTAAGTTAAACCAGTATTTCATGCATTCTGCTACTGATGAAAGCCAGTTGTGAAATGCTGAATTGTTGAAACAACACTTAATCGCACTGCATAAAATTCACAGAAGTGATTAATTTAGTTTTAAATCGTTTCTGAATGAGTCTAAAAATTAGCATTTGAGAATAAAGTTAAACATCAAACACTAACCATTCCATGAGACAGTGGGAAAGCATATTTGAAAATAATCTCGAAGATGTCTCTTCGACTGTGGCCTTCTTGCTTCAGAGCAAATCGCAGGTTCCTCATGTCCTGACACACACACACACACAATGATTTGAGAATGTCAGACTTTCAAAAAGAGGATGCTAGTTCTGCTCTAACCTAACCTATCACATTTTCATTCTATAGTGGTTTCCATTCAAAGCAGAAGCTGTAAAGAAGTGCTCTTAAAAACACATGAAGGTACTAACATTTATAGAAAGTATTCAAAAACGTTTTTGGAGCTGTGCGATACTACACATGCAGTATGTCGAGTTCAAATCTGGCTTGCGATACTCCAGGATCTTACTACCACTTTTCCCCTCATTTGCTTTCCCCAACATTAGCAGTTATGAAATGTGAATTTCTAGGGCTTTGAGTGAGCGATACCTTGCAGGTGATTTCAAGCCCATAGGAGTTCTCTCCTCGACTGGAGGCTCCGCCCATCTTCTCTACACGGCTTATAACACCTAATGGCACATCCAGGATAACTGGCGTCTCCTTTAGACAGGAAGTGACAACAATCTTACACATATATATGTACTATCAACACCTCAGAAGTGACACTTTCAGTTCCTTGCAATTATAGTAAATATGTGCTAAAGCATGTCACATAAACTTTGTTTAATAGGTCTTTGGTTCCATCTAATCAGTCCACTAACATATTTGTGTGACACAACTAGATCTTCAATACAAAACATAAGATTTCAAAACAGTTTGCATTACTGTATCGATTAATTTTTTATTTCTGTCACTTTGCCAGGCTGACGGATCATGGCAACGGACCCCAGCAACGGTCAAAACATCCACAAAACAGGGCCGCAGGTGTCCGCTACCATGTGCCAACCAAGGACAGAGCCAGAACCGAGATGAAAGCCTTTCTCTGATATGATGTGATACAAAATCCCTCCTTCTTCCTGTCCTCTGATATCCTTCTCTTTTCTCTTTTAATACAGACTAACAGATGTGTGCTATAACCAAAGGTAGCCACTAAAATTTGATCCAAAATAAAAAATGCGGAAACAAGCCTTCAAAGGAGAAATTGAGAAGGAAAGACTGAAAGACTTTGAAATGGTTTTAAAGGAGCACCTGACATGGCCTCAGAATGACTGTGCCTGAACATGTAGAGAACTAATGCGTTGCAATATTGGGAAATGAAAATGAAAGTTTCTCTTACTGAGTCAGTGTTCTTGAAGTAGAGTCTGTAGTTGGTGATGAACACCTTTCCTTTGACTGCAGCATTAAAAGGGCAGATGTAGATGATGTCTTTATCTGAGGAGTAAAAGAGAGTAGGAAATACAAATAAAGCTCAACATTTATTTAATCCCATAAAGTCTGTCTTAAAATGTCTGTGTGAAACAATTAAAGGTGCATTAAAGTTACTTTTGACAAATATGTTTTGTCAAAACATTGTACACTCACATTAAATGAAGACTCCAGTCAGTGTTCAAGACACAACTATTGTTTATAAAAGAGCAGTCCCCTCTCATAAGGGCTGCCATTTTGAGATCACATGACCTGCCAGGTACTTTATTTTGATTGCCCTCTATTATTATTAAATACAACTATGTAATGCTGCATCCTTGCCAATATGTCGGTTTGCCAGCCACGTAAAAAAATAAGCCTAAAGCAGCAGGTGAACATTTCTGCCACCTAGTGGACTGGAGTGTGAAACACTGGATGCCGCATAAATGAACAATGGCGCCCCCCATGATTTTAAGGTTAAAACGGTTTAAATAATGGGTTAGTTTTCATGAGTCAGAGCACTTAGGCAATGATTAGCCTGCAACACTGACTTGACTCACTTTAGTCCAGAAAAATTCAAACTGAAAAATCTGAATCCAGATAAAAAAAATAAAAATTCTGGGAAAAAATAAAATTTCTTTCATTTCAAGTCCCTAATAGCCAAAAAGTTTATGAGCAATCTTGAATCAACAGTTTTATGACTAGCACGTTATTTGAACATTACAAATTGTCAATATTAAAATGCATTTTATATATACACACAAGTATGACCAAAATGCTTATGGAGATATCAGACTAATTCTTATTCATTTAGAAGCATAGAAGCACACACATGCTCTCACTCACCGATCACTCTCTCTTCTCCCGGCAGCATGGCAACATCTGCCAGTGGCTCCATCTTCAGGCTCTCTCTCGACGCCTGTCAAAACATGCAGGAACATTGAGTTGACATGGGCGCATCCCTCACACGCACACAAACGCTCTCAAATAAGGATGATCACAACCATTTCTACACTACTCACAACATTAATACACTACAGTTCTAGACCAGACATGATTGTACTCAGTGGCATCTGATCAGAGGAAAAGAAAAACGCTGGGAAAAAACCTGAGAGTGACAGGAATGGAAGAGGAAGTAGTGAAGAGAGGAAAATAAAGAGTAAGAGGAGACTGTCCTCTTTCACCCTCTGTCTGTCTCCAGTCTGATGCTCTATGTGTGTGTATGTGTGTGTGTGATCAGGGATCCAGATTGTCTTTCCCTGGGCTATTTTCCTGCTGCCAGTTGAAGGTTAGTGAACTGGAATAATAGCTAAGAGTGCCATTTGCTGCGTGTAGTCGTTTATTCTGTCGGCCTTTTGCTGCTGTTCAGTGTTTTGCACGTCGCAACCCTGTTGGCAGAGTGAAGCAAGGGCTTCTGGGTAATGGTCTAGCCCGTGTTCTCGAGATGACAAATGGAGCAGTCAAACACACACACACACACACACACACACACACAGTGATCCTAGCAGGGAAACTAACCTGGTTCACACAAATAAGAGGTAGTTGGGTAAACAGAAGAGGACAGATGAGGAAGGGGGAGAATAAAAAACAGCCAACTAGTAAGAGGATTAAAAGAGACAACGTTAAAGACATCTTAAAGGTACAGTGTGCATTTTCTGCAACATTCGTCTGCAATTGTTCACAGCCATCTGGGAAATCAAGCCCAAATGGCTTAGTTATAGTCGTTTCTGCATATTAAGCTGTGATAGGAAAAAGAAAGAAAGAAAGGAGACTGACTGAGATAAAAGACAAACAGAGGCAATCACAGAGACAGATGGACGGCTCTCTGTACAAAATCTCTCTAGCTGTCCTCAGGGACCCTGGAAAAACGGAGACTCGGGTTCTGCTGCCTATCACCTGCCAGGTGTTACAGCTCCACTAACATATGTATGGAACAGCAGTCTCCTGGCTCAAGCGCTAGCGATGTGCCAACTCCCTGTCTGCCTGGAATCCCCTCTGCCCAGAGAGGTTACATATTCCAAGCCAGACACTGCATATGCATGTGTTTATATAGGGAGGGGCACTCTGCTTTTAAAGGAAACAATCTTTTTCGCTTTAACCACTAAGACAAGTTCCTATTTGAATTACTCAATTTTCACACATTTAGCAACATGCAATATGCCAGCGTATTATTAATCACTCTATAAATGTACTGAATAGCTAAGCTGGACTGAGTGCACATTTTAGTCTTAAAATAGGTCAGCTAGATAGATGATAAATAACATGGATAGGGCTGTCATGGTGAGGGAATTTCCCTTGCGGTAATTTTGAGTGGCTCAATAGCGCGGTATGCGGTTTTACCGCCATAAATATACATATATATATATACACACTAACTAACACACACACACACATACATTATATATATATATATATATATATACATAATTTATATAACTAACGAGGTCATATTCAGAAGACAATGAAACTGAAACCAAATAGCGCATGGACATCAACTTTCTTTTTTAACATCATGACCCTATGTATGAAAATATTACATTATTACATATGTTATATTTTATTATACTGCATATATAATTAACCCTATTGCTATTCTAAATTAAATGAAATCATATATATTTTCACCATTTGCTTTTGCGAGAACTGGCTTATAGTCTTGGAAAAGCGCTAATACTCAGTCCATGTGGTCTTGAAAAAGCCATTTAAAATAACTCAAATGTAAAAGAAGTGACGTCAATAAAAGAAGTACAAGCAGCATATGCCTCTTCTATAGCATCTATATGGCTGCTTAATACAATAGGAAAGCAGAGCAAAGGGCAGCTCTATTGATACCAGTGAAGTGCATTATTAATTCATGCAGAAAACGAAAGTCTAACCCTCCTACAACAGCATTGCACACTTACAGGATAATGTAGTTTGTAAAGCAAAGGGGGGAAAATGAGAAACAATCTGTTACAGTCAAAGGACAGGAGGACAGCACAATTACAGCATGTCTGCACGCAGGCTTCACTCACGTTTGGGCTGGAGCTGTTCCCCAGAGGACTGGAGTTGTAAGGTGCTATAGGAGCCGAGGCCATCACTGGGTTTGCTTCTTCCACCTCCACAAGAGACATGTCATTTTTCTTTCAGCTCAACAATAAAGCTTTTTTTTCCTGCTGGCTAGTAGTTCAGATTTGTAGCCTGTCCTGTCAACATTTTCAGTTGACTCACCATAAAAATATATTTATTTCTGACATCTACATTTTTAAAATGGGTAACTCTATGACAGCAACAAATATATAAACATGCTTTTGCTGGACAAAAATGGTATAAAGTGATTTTTCACTCATTCAAACAGATTTAAACAGGTTATTACAAATCATCTACACTATCATCAAAAGCTTGGGGTCGGTAAGATTTTTTGAAAGAAGTCTCTTATATTCACAAAGGCTACATTTACTTGATCACAATTAAATTATTATACATTGTAATTATTATTGTATTATTAACAACATTATTAATAATCATTACCATGGTACGATATGTAATTCGGCAGATTTCACAAGACCAATGTGCAATACAAACAGACAAATATTTAAAATCTGCAAGGCAAAAACAAGTTTATAACCAAACAATGTCAGACAGAAGTGTCAGTTTGCTCTAGGCCATCTGTAATGTTGAACTCTTTGTATAGAGTTTTCAACTTGAGATTTCAGAACAGTACGACAGGCAGCTACGAAAACAGAGAGGGGGAGAATATGGTTGGAAAATGATGCTGGTCACATGCAAACCTGGGCCAGCTTTGACTGATACGTCATTCAAATTATGTATTTTCTACGATCCCTAATGTTCTCAAAAAGCACAGTTGCTGTTTCTACAGTCGTGTTCATCTTTTTCTTTCTTTCAGAAACTACCACAGATGTGTCACAGTGGAAGTGAGAGGAAAATATGAAACATAATGTGAATAAACAGCAACACCCCAGCTGCGAAAATTAATAAACATCCCGTCAAGTGATGCATTGTGGGATAGATATGCTGTCAAATCTTTACTTGATTAAAATTATTTTGATTATACCATGGCAATGCCATAATAATTTGGACATGAATTGTTTCAATTAGCCATTTTTATCTGAAATGTATTACATTAACATAAATTAAATAATAATAATTATTATTTGTTTTTGTTTAATAAACTTTATTTAATACAAATATAAAAGATGTTTGTATAAAAGCCACCCAATAACCCAAACATGCCACAAGCTTTTTCATGTTGACACCAAACACCTCAGCAATATGTCTGCATACAGACCACATCAGCATCGCAATCACTATTTGGGCAAAATTTACACTTTTGTCATAAACTGTAATGTTGAAAACACAAGTTCAGATCTCTGAGTCATTGTGGGGCAAATATGAAGCTCTGAGGTTGAAATGGACACCTGAGGGAATGACACGTGAGGTTAGTGGTCAGAGACAGGCATGTAAATGATAACAGCACCAGCCTGTGTGTGTGTGTGAGAGAGAGAGAGTTATTTAAAATGATGATAGGACTGTTGTGGCTCTTACATGACGATGCACATTTACAGCCTTATTCCCCTGCTGCCTATAAACAAAATGACTTTTAACTTAGAGATAAGAGAGAGGAATGAAATCAATCTGTCACAGACAGTTTTACTTCAAAACTCATACCCCAAAAACTCTCACCCTAAGGCTTTAAATGCCCGGATCAATCACGGCAAAAGTAACGTTAGCTACACACTTTCACTAACTTATGTGGTGATGCGATGGACAATTATGAGCAGTATTTATCTGGCCCATATGTGCACATATCCACTTCAATTCATACACAATGACAGATAACGACATATACATCCAAACAAGCTTCTCAAGTGTCTAAAAAGTCCACTTTTATAACTTCTCGCGATTTCGTGGGAGTTCTTAGGCTACACTGTGAGTGTATTCCAGCACAGGACTGTGACCAGGAAATAGCTCGGGCCTATCTCTACAACAGCTCTCAAGTGCTACATTTACCCCGGAGTCCGCTCCAAGCAGCCCTAAATACAGACCAGACCCTCGCCGAAAAGTCATAACGTGCGACCCGAGCAAACTAGGGTTCGCAAATGTCTTTACTTACCCAGAAACTGCAATTCTCCGTTCCTCAGATCCGCCAGTCTGTTTTGCACCGCCGCAGGAAGAGCTCAGCCCGAGTCACGTGACAGCGGTCTCGGCGCCCATTGGCTACTTGTCAAATCATGTACTGCAAGGAATTTAGGGAGTTGTATTTTTGATAAGTACGGTGAAATAGAAGCTCGTTCTGAAAACATGCTGTCAACCCTTAACGTTTCTTTCGTGAAAAAGATTTCAAATATTGAAGATCCTCAACTTAAAAGCATCCTACCATAACTTATTATTTCATCACACAAAATGAATACATTTTTAAATCAGGGTATTGTGTAAAAAAAAAAAAGTAGAGTAATTAACAAAATAAATAATTAAAAATAATATTTGTCCCTATATTTCATGTCATAGTGTTACTGGTGGCAAAAAAACAGCTTTTGGAATAATCAATTTGTGAAAATCAAAAAAGACAAAAATCAGAGCAAGATCACAACTATAATCATATATAGCCTATATGTGTAAATGTTTGACAACTAGCATGACTCTCCTTCTCTATGTCGACAGTCAACATTGCTTGGAACTATAGGGTCAGAAATAGAGTAGCTAATTTGGACAAACGGTAGGCCTACATCTGTTTCCATTGTTGCCTGATAACAAACAACTTCTAGTGTGTTCAAACTATTGCCAATTTCTGTCAAAGCTGATGACACCATTACCTCAGTTTTTCATTTAGAGAAACACAAAAAAGTGCAAGGCTAGAGATTTTATTGTCCCATATAATTACAGATGAGCAATAATTGTTTTACTCCTCTCACATCTTTTCTTTACTTTTACCAGTCATTAATATTTGACACCTCATGCATGCATTAGTTTTATTGCATATTAAGCTGTCTGTATTCATTTAAGCCTGGTAGCATCTTTCATAAAAGTGCAAACTAAAGAGTCTTGCTCAGTAAAGTCTAGCTGATGGCTGTGCAATCTGATCCCTGCAGTGTCATAGTCATACCAATCATTCCATTCACTTCTTACAGATGGCAGTTAACTGTACTTCATTAGAGTCTGTCCACACAGCCTCTTGTGCAAATTATGGCTCTGGAAAGCAAGAAAGAGTTACACACAAGGTTTTTGTATTTGAATTACTTGTGGCTTTCAAAGTGTGGATTATCAAGTTTGATTTTACCCAGACTTCTGTTGTGTGGCAATAGCTCTGATCTGTAACTGTGAAACATGAAGATATTAGTTTCTAAAACTAAAACAAAGGCAGCTTTTTATGTGGAAGCAAAACTGCTGATCTAAAAATGAAACAGGCAAAACCATAAAACAGCATTAAGAGGAAATATACCAAAAATGGCTATTTATATTTATTTATTTATAAGGAAACGATATGAGAAATTGTATTTCATTATATCTAAATTAATATATATAGCCTACACACACGTACATAGTTATTTTTATATAAAAAATAAAGCAAATTACAAACCATAAGAAAAATACAATAGATACACATTAAATATTAAATAAACTTGTTTTTCTAATACAGTAGGTTTAACATGTATACTTTATTTAACATCTTTTGTTGTTTGATTAACATTAATGAGACAGACAGGTATACTTAATTAGACACATATCCGGTTTTCACCCACCTGTTTACGTTCATTTAAGCCATAACCGACTGTATTTACGTGAGATACTCCACACGATTGACATTTTGACAGCTGTGTGTGTATTTAACAATTAAGGCGCAGGCAGGACTGATCGCAGAACTGATCGCAGAACTGGGCTTTCGATAAGACAGCGCTTCTGTGTGTCTGTCATTCAGCGTGATTCCGCCTATCTATCCCGCCTTCACTTACTCCAAGTTAATCGATAACGAATTGTGATTGGATGGTAATTTGGTTCTACGACAAGCTTACTTACCTTTGATTAGGCTGTTCTCGCGTCGCGTGACAGAACACTACTCGCTCTGATCACCCAGTCCTAAAGAAAGTTTGAAATACGGGACAAAACATGATTTTTTCCCAAAATAAATCGGGACACTAAAAAAGAGCTTAAATACGGGACTGTCCCGGGGAAAACGGGACGTCTGGTCTCCCTACCCACTAAAGCCATTTTTACTGTGTAAAAAATTAAGGATTGTTCAAAACAGACTAGAACAGAAATTAAAGTGAGCAGTAGTGAAAGAAGGTATAAATCAATGTCACAAATTTGTTTACTTTGTGCCCACCTCGTCCTGATAAGCAGTCACAAAGAGACATACTCTGTGGTGCTCTTGTGTCCTTATAAGATCATTTTAGCACAGTAGTTATCAGGCATCTCAACACTAAATGAAGTGTGGTGCTAATATTTATCTTCTCTCATACCACCAATGGAAACGGAAGTATGATATACTGAAGAAGAACAGGTTAAAAAAAAAAAGACCAAAAGGAGACATTTTTGTTTTTATGAGGTTTATTTTCCAATCTAAAAATATGAAGACAAAATATAATAAATCACAATGAATCACAAATCAGAATGTCTTCAAGTTCATGGCATCAACTACATGGTCATGAACTACTGGAAACCCAAGACTCTGGCACAAAGGACTGTGGGTTTTATGCACTTACTGTGACAGGTGTTGCTCTTGTATTACATAATAGGTGGTGTGATCATATATTTTGTCCCTCTGCTACATTGAGGCTGCCGTTTCAGTGTAGCTGGTGCGTACTTACAAAAGACATTCCTAGAATTGCTGAAAAGTGTCCTTGGTCCAAAAACCATCAAGATCCTTAAGATCCTCATTTCGTTAGATGGAACAGATTATTACAAAGACACTGGTGTCTAGTGTAAAATGTATTATGCTATGGCAATATGACACAAGTTAGAGAACCTTTAGACTGTGCAATTACGTCAGAATGAAATGCTGTAACAAGGCTGAGAAACATTGTACTCCAAACCTCCCAATTTAAAAACACAAACCATAAAACCTTCTTAAGCCAGACTGGAGTACCAGAAGTCCAGTTATGTCAAAAACATAACACATTTTTCACCTTTGTAATACATAGTATTACTCCAAAACTAACCATACTGTCTTGCATAATACAAATTACAATAGAGTTTCCTAGTGTAAAATATTTCATTTGCAATTTCAATGTGACACTCATTTCTTTACATCATTACATTTTAGTTTTATTTATTCTTTTGATAATTATTTACAAAGAAATTCTGAAGAATTCATCAGCAGAAAAGAAGCATAAATATGTGTACTTCTCTTTTGTATGTTACAGTTTAAGAAACCATATTTTACAAAATACTTTATGTACAGGACAAGCCCCTTTTGAAATACCCTCAAATAGTTCATCACTAAAAAAGATTTCATATGCTTTTCAAATAGCAAGAATGAAAAGCTGCACATATGAGCCTGGTCTGGCATGAGACTGCCAACAATACTGTTACCACATTGCATTAAAGTGACAGTTCACCCAAAAAGGACAATTCTGTCATCATCTACTCACCCCATGTAAATAAGTAAATAAAAAGTGTTTTGCCCATACAATGAAAGTTAGGGTTGTTTTAAACCCCATTAACTTCCACTGAACAGACAAAAAATTGATCTTCAAAATGTATTCTGTCATACAGATTTGGAAAGACATAAGGGCAAGTAAATGATGACAGAATTGTTCTTTTTCGGCGAACTATCCCTTTAACTGAATGAGAACTTTCTTTACACTGCTGGGGAAAGCCCATGTTTTCATAAATCAGTGTTTCACTCCATAATAAATTTGATGATAATTACAATATTATTAAAACCATTGACAAAAGGAAAGGCATCTTATAATATAAGTCAGTTTAATGACGGCCAAAGCCAGGCTTAGCAGCGCCTAAGCAGTGCCTCCTTTCCATCGATACATTCTCACTAATGCTAACCATGAGAAAAAAAAAACGCTTTAGGACTTTAAGGTTCATTCACACCAAAGATGATAATTATAACAATGAACTAAAAGGTTTTTAAGCCAATCAGATGCCACCCAAGCTTGCATGTATATAGGACCCAATATACTTCATGATTTAGAACAAAATCAGCCCAAAACAAAGTTAGTTTCTGGAGCTCGAAACAGCTTGCCCAAGCAAACTTTCTGGAAAAGTAAACACCTTGGAACTGCTACCACTGGTCCATGGCGTCAGGATGTTCTCTAACAGAATATAGCTGATTGCGTATCTCAAAACTTCTTTTTACTAAGCGAAGAACAATAAAGTGAGTATATCGGGGCCTTAAAGCTGCAGACAAATGCGCGGTTATAACAAAAAGAAAGTTCCCGTCCGTTGGTGTGGACACTAATATAGTTCTTGTTATAGTTAGCGCTCTTGGTGTAAACATGCCTTTACAGAGCGATGACCCCACAAACCCATTCTTGCGCTGTGTAGTGATTTTCGAACCTAAGACGCTCTTGATCAGTCCCTATGAGTTTTGCTCAAGGTATTCATCTATCATGGTGAGATTGTTCAGCCAGTCTTCGTTGTTGCCCACCAGAGTGTCTATGAAGTCTACCTCTGCACCTCCACCGCCTCCTCCTCCAGGTCCTTGTAGCCCCGCTGCCATTGCCCCATTGCTCTGATGCTGTGGGGTGTAGTCATAGGAAGGCAGTTTATCTCTGGGGTTGTAGCCCTGTGGTGAACAGTGTTTCCCTGCAGAAGCAGTCTGGTAACTAGGAGGTCCCATCCCATGGGCAGGGTGCATCATGGATGGACCTCCTGGTTTCATAACAGCTAGAGCGGAAAGTGGACCTCGCATTCTGAGGTTCTGTTGGGACATGGAGGATAGCGGCTGGGTGGTGGGCATCTTCTGGTCCTGTCTGCCAACCAAACCAGGGGCTACCTGATTAGGAGGAGGACGGGAACCAGGGAAGTTGGCTGGCATACCTGCCATGCCGGATCGCTGTGGAAACTGAGGACCTCCACATCCAGATAGGGCTCCTATGGCGGGGAAAGGATGTGGGTGGTTCGCAGAGTTTATATGCGGTTGAACCCCTTGTTGGTGCTGCCAGAGCTGGGACTGTGACGTGGGCTGCTGCTGCTGGGGAGGGAACATCATGCGTGACTGAAGAGCTCCAGCTTGGTGCAATGCCTGCCGCAGGTGGTGGGTCTGCACGGGACCACCTGGTAAGTTGGGGCATGGCATTCCTGGTCGCGTCACAGCGTGAGCTGGGTGTAACGGTTGACGTGGAGGCCCACCCATTCCCATCATGATCTGGCCAGGCTGCATCGCCATTCCAAAGTCTTGCGACGGGTGGCAGAGGGGTTGTTTGGAACCTTTGCCGCACACATATCCTCCAACCGTCGGGCCCATCTGAGAGACCGAACTGGAGGAAAGACCCATTTGGTTTGTGGGTAAAGGACCACTATGGGAGAGCATGGAGGAATTCAGCTGTTGAGAAGCTCCCAGAGGATATCCACCACACTCTGGAGGGAGCGGTCGACCTGGACCTGCAAGAAAGCAAAAATCGTTGACTTTCAGCATGGCTTTAGGTATACTACTGTTTAAAAGTTTAGGATTGGTAAGATTTTTTAATGTTTTAAAAAGACATCTCTTATGTTTACCATGGAGGTATTTATTTGATTAAAAATACAGTAAAACAGTACTATAGTGAAATCTAATTATTTAAAATAAGAATAAAAAGAACAAAAGAATAAAAATTCAGCAGCCATTGCTCTAGGCTTCAGTGTCTCATTTTAACTATTTAATGCATCCTTGTATTAAAATAATAATTTTTTATTTAAAAAAAGAAAAAAAAGAAAACATTTGAACGGGAGTGTATATAGCAAAATTCTGGCACGAAATAAAAAGTAGGCCTCATTTACTAACGATTTTGTACAAATTCCATATTTATGCGCACAGAAATTTCTCACTCCAAAGGCTGCACCTACACATAAAAGATGCCCAAACCATGTCCATATAAGGGCTTCTGTATTTTTATTTGTTTATTTTTAAATATTTCTCATTTAATTTTAGAGCCAGTTATTCCATTCATATCTATCTATCTATCTATCTATCTATCTATATACAACTGTAACTAACTACATATAATCTCACCGTGATCAAAGACGTGACGCCATTCAGTGTAACTCAACACCGCTAAAAGGTCATCTCAACCAAGCCCACATGTTCTAACAGGGCTTCTTTCCTTAGCAAAGTTGTAAACATCTGTAAATAACCACAGAGGATTCAGACCAGACCCTGCCTTCCCAGAGCCACGGAGGTTTGTTTTCGTTGGCTTTGTCTGAATGCACCCCTCCACCCGAGCAGTCCAGCTAGGCATTCCCATATTCCCATTCCCACAGAAGAAACGCTCCCCACCCTCTTCCCTCTCTACTCCCATCCAAATCCTGAAAACACATGCGTAACCGGAGTAGAACATTAATCACGGACCATTACGAAGACGTGGAGAGAGAACTACTTCACGTCTGGCATACCGTCCATGGCAGAACGCAACAATCTGCTTCACGTCATAAAGACACAAACACAAAATGAAATTACTGGGTTTATTATGTTGTGTGAATTCAATTAAATCTCCAACTACATGCTTAGCATCACACATAGCTAATATCATGCTCAAGAACAAGCAGAGGTAATCTGAGGCACTAACAGACACTCCTAGCATGAATCTGGTGTAATCATCTTTGCTTGTAGCAGGTAGGGTGGTGAAACGGCTTCCCAGGGGGAATATCGTGGTGCTTTGCAGTGGAAATGAATGGCTTGTCTGCAGCACTAGTGCTGGTAATGGATATTGATCCAGCACTTGGGTATGTGCAGCTGGAATGAAGAGCTGGTTTAGATGCTTTTGTTGGTTGTGTTAGGGCTGTGCCTGAGAACTGTCCATGCACGATTCTGTTTTGCCATTAAGAACTAAAACTTCTAATGATTATAAAGAACACTCACATCTGTTACTTCTTAAATGAACAGTTCATCCAAAAATGAACATTCTGTCATCATTTAGTAAGCTTCAGTCACCAATCACTTAAAGTCATATGGGTTTGTGGGGTTGAGTAAATGATGCCAGGATTTGAATTTTTAGTCAAACTATCCCTTTAAGATATTATGAGTAATGCTTAAACATTATTTAAACACTTTCTATTTCGTCAGCCGCACAAATGCTCTCTGCAAAGCCCAAGGAAAGAAAATAGTGAGTTGATTAGTATGATAATCAGCGACTCGCTCACAAATCCAACGAGATATATCCAGCTGCAGACCCGCAGCACCAGCAGTTTCAGAACCGCAGCCATAGAACCGCAGCCACAGAACCGGAAGTGAGGGGCCCTTAAAAACCGTAAGGTGGCGCTACTCTGTTAAAAAATGTAAGCTCCGCCCTTCACTTCCGGTTCTGTGGCTGCGGTTCTGAAACTGCTGGTGCTGCGGGTCTGCAGCTGGATACTATTGAATCCAACAGGGAGATATGAATAAAAACCTTGTTTTTTCCCTCTAAGCGAACGCTATATGGCGCATGCGCACTCTAACAGTACGTAACAAAAACAGTAACGTACGCTCTCTGTGCGTTTAACCGCTTGATCCACCTCAAGAGTTTACGGTGAGCTTTTCAGTCTTGATCGATTCCCTTATTGTAAAAACCCAGTCTGTTCTCTATCCAGTCAGCCTAGTGTATTTATTGATAAATATAAAAGATTACTGTGCACATAGTCCGTGACTTATGTTTTAGTCTGTCACTCAGGACGCAGCTTTGCGCTCCATCCGGGAAAGCTCGCCAAATTAAACAGCGTTTCCGATTGTGCCCTCGATAAGAGACGGCCTTTCATTCTTTCCCCCCTGCCCTGAGCTACACCCCAACACCTCACCAGCTTTCCAGAGCCTCCAGCAACACACGCTCGTTTCAAATAAAGCAGTCCGTCAAGCAAGCCGCCTCCCCTTTCCGTTCCGCGCGCTCACTCAGCTTTTCATGCAACTCACATTTCAGCGTGCATTTAATAGATTAGATATCACAGCAGCAGAGGTTATCAAAGCAATCAGCTGCCTTTGTTGTCGAACAGAATGCAAGCGTTCCTGTGCGTACAAGACGGTAACAAAGAAAGAGAGATATGTTTAACCCTCCCTGTCAAATCCATCGGGGTGGAAAATGTAAATTTGGAATGCTCTCTCTCTCCCCATTTGTATTGCAGTATTGTATTTGCATTGCAAAATAAGTACAAAAGCAATAAAGTAATACTATAAATAAATACAGAAGTGCAGAGTATTATTTCGAAAGCAAATGTAAGCAAAATGACATTAATTAAAAGACATTTAAAGGCGTAACGATGAAAAACAGCACTAAATATGCCCTAAACCACATAAAAGAGACATAATTGCCCATATCAAACTAACAAGAGAAATAAAACCAATTATGCATTTGCGTGCTGCCGAGCATGAAAGGATGTTCTCTCACTTAACCCAGAGCGTGCATGTTTGACCTTGCTTTTGTCATCTGAACCAGGGTTATTATAGTTTTTTGACATTTCAATAGTTTTTATTTATTTATTTCATTTTAGTTTTTATTTCATTGTTCCATTTTATTTCTTTCAGAAAAATCATATTTTGAGTTCATTTAGCATAGTTTAAAAGATTTATATCCCTTTACAAAAATTTTTTTTTTTTTTTTTGCAGTCACTTATTGCAAATTTACTCACTCCAGTACAGTCCACTCCAATACCTAACTCACACACAGAGAGTGAATTGTGGTTGGTTGTTTTACCATAGATGCCGTCATTCATAAACTATTACATTCCTCCAGTGTTAAACATTTAGTTTCATCCTTGGTTTGAGACCCCAATTTAAACATCAAGCAAGGCTTTATTTGCCAAAAAAAACCAAGTGGAAAATCAAATCTCTCTATATTTAGGTCCATTCTCCAGGCTTTAGCTAATTATCATGGGAAAATGTCTGAGAAGCAGAGCAGGACTATAGGAAGGGAAAGAGAGAGAGAGAGGTTGTTGTTGAATGTCAGTTAAGTCGCTTTGTCATGCAACTCCAAGTGACCTTGCTGGGAGCAGAGAGGGGGAGGGACAGAGAAGGAGGGAAAGCTTATGACTGCAAGAGTTAGGAAAGAATGAGATGAGGATGAATGGAGTGGGCAGAAAGCGAGGAATAAGAAGAGAGAAAGGGACTGACTCAGGCGCACAACTTTTGCAAAACAGGTAGAATTAGAAAGCGCAGTGGATAATGGAAGCAGACACGAGACAGATAGAAAGAGAGAGCGCATGCAAGGAAAGCGTGCGAGAGAAAGTGGGACAGAGTTGTGTAGAGAGCTCCGCTTTGCTGTCCTGGCAGAAGTCCAGCTGTACAGAGCACAGGCAGACACTAAGTACTGCTTTTATCTCCACAGTAACCAAGTTTATTTACGTCTATTGCCTTGATGGTGGGGTTAAATTGCTATGAAATGATGACCGACACAATACCGACTTTCTTTACAAATGCACAAGCGTCTGCCTCGAATCGATAATCTCTGATAATATTTAATATGCATGCCCTGATTTATGCGTGCACACATACGGCGATATGTATACGTACGCGCGTGATAGTGGGAGCGGCTCACATCATTGGGCATGAGAGGAGGATGTTAATGAATGTGACGCCTGACCTACTTCCACAACAACACATATCAGCTCCCTCTTTCTCTCTCTCTCTCTCCTTCTCTGTTTGTGTGGCTTGGAGACAAGAGGCAGTCTTCATGCCAGTCTGGTTAACCACATTGTGCCATGTCTACCATATACACCCCATCACAAAAATCCAGTTCTTGGGGCGCCGAGGATTTCCATGTGTTTTGTTCAAACACGTAAAAATAGATTTTAGGTTTAAAAAACCCTGTTATTGAGGGGGAAAGCGAATAAAGATCGGAGGTGTGTGGGTGGATGGATGTGAAGAAGAGAACAAGCTCCCCCAGTCTTGCTGCTTTGAAGCCTACTAACTATCCTGGGACCCTTTGAAACACCGCCTCAAATTCCCAAACTGTTCCTGGCACGCATTT